AAATATTTGTCTGTTTGCTCATCATGCTGATACGGAGCAGCATTAACATTCATTCTTTGTAGGTTTGTAAGGTTTAAAAAAAAAAAAAAAGAAACACTGCTTAAAGATACAGATATAAATATAGAAGGAAAACAATAATCACACAAGCAATTTAAAGGAAAACTTTGACATTTTTGGCAGCCATGAAATGAATGAAGACTTTGGCCAGCTAATAAATAGAATGGCACATAACTCATGCAAATTTTGTGTTTTGTGTAAAGGTCAAACTAACAAGATGAGTGAGCTTTAGAAGTGTTCACAGGCAGATGTTGTAAATGTAGGACAGAACCAGGCTAGCTCCTCCCCCATTTTTCCCAGTCTTTGTGCTAAGCTAAGCTAAGCTAACCTGCTGCTAACGCTCAAAATGAATATTTCCCAACATGTTTAACTGCTCCTTAACTGCTTTGAAGAAACATCCTCTTATGTCTTGTTGTATTTCCAGAGTTATTAGAGTGTCATTGAAAGGCACTAACATTGCTTTCAGTCGAGTTTAGCCAGCAAAATAAAGCGCAAATCATTTGGGACCAGTGACTTACAGCACTGTAGGCTGTGGGAAGGTCACCCTTTGCCTTCCCTTTGGGCATCAGTCTTGAAAACAGAGTGACGGCCCCAGAGAGGCTGATAAGTAAATACAGTTTTAATGGGCTGTGAATGGCTGGTGGTAATCTGCGCTGGCCGGGAAGTGGGCAAGGCACAGAGGGCGACGGGGCATTCTGCAGCGGTTATTATTAATGCTATCATAGATCAGATAGGCCAGAGGAGGGGAATGAAAGGTGGTGATGAATTTGGGCCTCCTGTCTACCAAGTGAGTGGAGGACAAGCTACTGAGGCTGGTTAAGGTCATGGATGAAGGATACCACCCAAAAGAAGACACAAGGGACGATTCATTATGTATAATATTGAGGGTAGGATGGTATATATCCCAGGGGACTGAATCAAGGTCATGGGGTGGCAATGTGAAACTAAAGAAACACAGCCTCTAGTCTGCTTCTGCTTACCCATTTGGTATTCCTAATGCCTGAATATCCCACACATTTTCTATGCAAAACTCTGAATGATAACATCCATAATTTACTGTGACCACCCTTGGCCTATAAAGCAGAATCCATTCTTCTAGAGTTGGATTTTGTAACCTTTTCAAGGTGCTTAGCAGGTAGGTTGCTCGGCGGGTTTTTCTGTGGATTTAAGTTGTCTCAGGTGCTTTCTTCTCTTCATGTAATCCCAGACTGACTCCAAGATGTTGAGATCAGAGCTCAGTGGGGGCCATACCATCTGTCACAGGACCTTTTCTTCTTCTTGTCACTGAAGATAGTTCTTTTTAACTCTGGCTGGGTGTTCGGGGGTCGTCATGCTGCAGAATGAATCTCAGACCAGTCAGTCTCCCCTCTGATGGATCGGATAAAAATCTAACCATCTGAAGTGCTGTTTGTTCAGTGCTGTATATTATGTCAGTAATAGTATGTTTTTTGTGTTTGTGCATGGGTTCTTGGATGAAATTCTTTGCCCTTGCAGGGAGCGAAACTGCTTAGCATTCTAAAGTAAAACGTGTTGATAGGTGTCTGAATGTGAAAAATACAGTTTGTTGTATCTGAACGTGTCTGGCATTTCAGTCCTCGGTCTATTTTCAAGGCATGAAAGCTTCCAGATCCTTTTCGAGACATCAAAGCCTCGAGACCTTTTTCCAGACATCAAAGTCTTAAGACCTGTCCTCGGAGAGGTCTGCAGATCTAAACGCCACATCTGTCAAGACACAATCACTTGCATTTTTGCCTCCTAGACATGTCTTCAAATAATGCCTGCCATAGTTCTACCTGGTTTTTTAAAACTCCCACTTTTCCAAATGCAATGTGTCTTGTAATCTTTAAGCGAAGGAGATGGATGGTGCGTGAGTTTTTACAGCAGTCACTGTTTTGGTAATTTAGCCCAGGAAATGGACTTACCATGTGCAGAACTGAGAGGGGTTCAGCTTTTTTTTTTTTTTTTTTTAATGACTTGCAGCTACAGGCGATGTAACCAAAGCCACTCCGGTTCTGTCTGGTGCTTGCTCTGATTTCCAGCAGCTGAATGGACCTCAGTGCAGCGTGGGCTTCAAGGGGATTTGACAGAGTGTCGGGCTCTAGAAGGGGCTACTTTTGGACGGATACCAGCTATTGTATGAGTGATGTTCCAGCCGTCTCTTACAGCTTGGGAAGTGACTGCTCTACATCAACACTTTCGTCCCCCTTCACCTCTCTGATGCTTTTTGCAGCTGTACGAGAGCGAACTTGTTTCCAGGATCAAATGGCACACATTTAGGGGGAAGTAAAAGCTTGGCGCCTTTAGGAGAAAAAATGGAACTTGAAGTGAACCAGAAAGGGTGGCCTTTAAAATTAGGACAAATCCAGAGGCTGTAACTATTATTTAGTGGTCAAAGTTTATCTTTGCCAACACAGCGACTAACTAGACCGGCATCTATACACTGTGTGTGAGTGTCGTCCTGATGGGATTCTGTTTCCTTTTGCCAGCCTTTTTAATGCATACAGAGCCAGTTTAGTTTATGGTGCCACTTCAAGACTAGAATTTACTTTGGTGTTGCATTTTAGGTTAGCCTGACAGTTCTCTCAGCTGCAACGCTATGTGACATATGTGATAATCTGACTGACAGAACGTGGCGTGAGTTTAATGTGAAGCCTGAAAGCTACAAAACTCAAAGAGCGCACACTTGAATTATATAAAAAGGGTGCTTTGAGGTAAGCAGTGCTTGTAGTCAGACCATTTAGCTCTTTATTAAATTGTTTCAGTTTTAGACAATTTAAATGATCAGACAACTGTTTGATTAATTACTAACGCTGACTTCCTTCCCAAATGTTACATTAATTCTATCCCAAAATTACACAACTGTCTCTCCTACAATCAAAATACAAACTAATGTTACATGAAGCTACTTCTGTAAAAGACTGATTAGACTGTGGGCGGCTCATCTGATATTTCTGTATTTAGCGTTCTCCTTCTTTATCCGTCTTTGTTAACACCATGTAACCTGCTCAGGAGGATACAAAATTGCAGTGAAGCTCCTGGTTTAATTACCAGATTACAGCAATAAACCAGATGTAATTAAATTTTCTGAATTTCAATTGTGATGAATCCACCAGCAGCCACAATTACGCTTGAGAGTCCCAACAACCAAAATGGTTTCAAATATGACCAAATACTATGATAATATTAAAACTAATACGGTCATGCTTGTTTTTTTCTCAGCCACATTGTCTAATGAATAGTATTTCTAATCTTATAGGCTGGTCTGCTTTTATTATGTTAGAGGGCTCCTATATAGACACCCAGAAAAAAAAAGTGGTGGAACAGACCATATGTCCCTCATGGCCTTGAAAAGGAATAAGAATGGAAGTAGAATGAATAAATGAATAAAGATGGCTCAGTAGAAATTGTCTTCAAATGCAACAAAGGCGCTGGAAAGTCGCTGAGCACCGCAGCCAGAACTGAACCTACTGCAGTGATTGAATGCATCTCTCTGAGGATAACCTGGCAGAGTGAAGAACTGCTTTAATCAATGTTATGGGTGTTTTCCTCTGTCATTTACTTTGTAGATTATAATTTAGTTCTTTTTTTTTTTCTCCCTAATTTGGTATTTTCATTATCTTCTACAGTGGTAGGCCTACATGTACACACATTACCTTAAGTCCACAATAATTAAAACAAGCAACACAGAGGCATCTAATCATTCAGTTCTGGCTCCACACGGGGTCGCTAGTGCCTGCCAAGTGGCGCAGTCATGCAATCAATTGGACATGTCCGATACCAACTTTTAAAGTCATTCTTTGTGCACGCAGAGGGCAGCTGTGTCAGTGGGGAACTATATTTAGTAAAGGTGTAAAGATGTGTCTTTGGGGTTTTTAAAAAGGCACTCGTTCTTGGATGAACAGTTCTTGGAAGAAGATGCCTTTGGGTTTAATGTGGATTTAGTTGGTTATAAGTCAGTGTGTGAGGAAAATATCAGAACATATTCCAACATCATCAGTGAGGTTTGATGCTCCCGGAGCGCCAGTCGCCTCCCGAAGTGTGCCAGTGGCGTTTTATTGTCAGTGCCACAGGCTTTCTTCCCCTCTGCTTCTCTCGACGCGCATTGGACGGACAGACAACGCGTAAGCTCCACTGAAACTGCAGCCCGTAGTCTGTGTACATAAAAATTGAAAGATCGGGGCTGGAAACCGGACTTTCGCTGAATATGTGAACCACTTGGTGCTGAAGTCTAATTAGAAGTGGCAGCTGAACACTTGGCTCCGCGCACGGAGCTCTGCGCGCTCTGCTGCTGCTGCGTGCCGCTGGAGTTGCGCTCAGGACTTGACGAAGCGATAAGGTTGCCAGGGTGTGGATGTACATGCTTGACCTCTCTTGTGACTTGAACTTTTTCTACTTTTTTCTATATTTCACCGTACATGATGCCGGGCGGGAAGTGCTTCCATTCGTCCCAAGGTGTCGGACTTTACGCACCACACAGCGGCCAACTTCAGGAACCCGGTGATGCAGAAGATACGGAGCAGACAAACTGATTAACTGGGCAGAGAGGATTGAAACCATTTTTTTCCTTTTTTTCTTTTGGGTTTCATTGATTCAGATCTCATTGAGAATCTCAACTGTGGGTTTAAGCATTTTTACGAGTCATCCAAGCGTCTACACTCCCCCCAAAAAATGCTGGAAAGAGTGATGCAAAGCTGCGCGCAAGTTCCCCTCCCCGCAGTTCTTGAATTTTCTCGGCAAAAACAAGTAGATTAGACACTTGCGAAAGAGGCTTTAAAAAATTGTTCACTGGAACTATGACTATTCAGCATTTTGCAAATTACTGGATGAGACGTGACATTTCCACCAGAAAAGATGCGCTTTGATTTTTTATTAACGATGCTGCATGTAGGATTTTCCTCTTTGAACTAGGAAATTTTTGGCTTGTGCACACATTTCGAAGGATTTCTTGTTTTTCCTGACGGCTCCAAGAAACATGTTGCATATTCTTGTGCTTCAGTCGGTGGCGTTACTTTTGGGAGGTAAGCACAATTTCAGCCTTATTCACCCATGTGTCTGCTAGTCCACACTTTCAACTGAGGAATTTCTTTTCTTGCAAAGAAGTTGAATAGAGCAGAAGCCATTTATCACACATCTTCAAGTGTGTCTTTGTCACGTCTAAGGGACAAATCCTACCTGAGACACACAGGGATGCGGGCCAGTTCCATCCTGTGAGTCACTGCTTTGTGAAGGTGTCTGTCTGCTGTATCTGAATGTGTTCCCTACACTTCTATGCTGCCTGACATCTAATTTACTAACACATCCTGACAAGAATTAGAGTTCAGTCATATGTTATGTATTATGAAGAACCCACTGCATTGGCTTTGCACCTGTGCAATATACCCAGAGCAGCTCTGGCCTTAAATAACATTTATCTCATGAATATTTCAATATGACAGGGATTCTCTTGTGCAACAGAAGCATTGGGGCTTTATTACCGCTTGGCTTGTCAAGTTATTAGGCTACACCAAAGTTCATCTCAGAGCCCATCACTATTTCATGGGATAACTTAAGAGAGTTGCAGCAATGAGAGATCTTCATAGCTCAAATCACAACATGACAGTGACAAATTAGCTGTGAGACGTAAACAAATATCTGCTTTTGGCAGGAATTCGTCCCTTGAGATGAGTTCTTGCTTAAACAATGATAATGTAAATTTCACTTTCCATACACATGACATTGCATCAGGCGGCCGTGCCCACAGGAGGAAAACAGCATCTACTTTGGCTGCCCTGCAGCCGGGATCTGAGGGCAGCTGGTGGTCTGGCTAATGAATCCCCTCTGTCTTGTGGGAAAAGGGTTTAACTTAAAATGCTATTTGGAAATTCTATCCTGTCTGCTATTGTGCACATTTACTCCAGATGATACCTGGCTTTAGCAGCTTTCTGTCTCATCAAACAGAAGGAAGTTTTCGTGTTATATCTTTAGGTTTTTTTTTTTATTAGTTTTTTATTTTTTTAAAGAAAGCTCGATTCTGTAGCTGCAAATAATCTGTAATGAAAAAGCTGAAAAACATGTATTTTAAGCAGTATACTTGACATCAGGAATCATCATCTAATTGTATTCACACAAACGCCTACAGCCAATCATGTATCAATAATGCGCTAAATAAAAGAAACACTTGTGCTGCTTTCTTACAGAATAAAAGGTCATACATTTTCAGAATCATTCTCTCACATTAAACTAAGCATTCTCACACTGCACCTTACGCCTCCACTGTGCATGTACACCTTGATGATGCTTCTTTCTTGGTGCTCAAAAGAATGAGAGCGCTGACTCACTGGCTTGAAGTGTGCGGTAATGTTGTTTGCCATATGTCAAGGCCTTCTCGGTAACCATACACAGTATGATCCTAATTGAGCGTTGTGTGCCATAAACCTGCAGGACACTGCTGCTCACTGTGAATAGTGATGAAAATGGACAAGACACTCCAGGAAATGAGAGGATCAGATCCGTGCTACAAAAATGTCTGCACAGCATAATGAAGCCATAATTAGGGAGGGAAATCTGGTATTCTGGTGTGACAGTGACCACCACCTTTGTTTGGGAAGCAGAAATGTTATCAAGGTAGAGAGTTACCAGGGTCTAAAATATTACTTCAAAATCAGTTGAATAGAATGTCACTGTGATAAATTAAAAATAAAGACTCAAGGTCTTTTCTTCTGTTTTCAGAGATCTGGCTTTATTCCGTATATTTGAAAAAGTCTGTCCTCGCTTCTATTAATTGAAGCCGCTAGGTGTGTTCCAGTGAGACACCTCGGTGGGATTCCTGAGAGGAATATCCAATCTTCCCTCCCTTCGTCTTATCCTTGAGCTTAACAAGATCCAAAAGGGGATCAAGCAGGGATAGCCTTCAGTCTACATCGTTAAGTACTAAGCACACAGCCCATGCTGTCTTGTCTCTGCCATGTGTCTGTCCTCATGCGTCTATATCCCCATGATGGGGATGTGACTTGTCCTGTAGGATTTATTTTTTTGGGGGGGTGGGTGGACAGGAAACACCAACATTTTATCAACCCCTCAGAGATTCTTAGGCTCCTTCTCAGTGGAGAGTTTTTATCTGTAATTGTCTTCAGAAAGATCCACTGCTGTGGTCCCTCACCCCAGTGCTGTGGCACACTTCCAGCTCCACTTCTTTTGCCCCTGGCAGTCCTTTAAGCCCTGCAATTCATGTCCTTGAGCAGGCAAGGACCAAGAAATAAGAGAGAGCAAGAGAGAGAGGGAGCAAGCAAGAGAGGCGACATACTAGGTGCACAGAAAATGGGGTGTTTTTAAAATGGAAAGGGGGGAATCACAATCTCAATTGTGCAAAACATGTTATTAGACGGATAGGCTAATATCATGTGTCTGTATCTCATTTATTTAGGCTGAACATCATGTAATTGAAATTAAACTATCAGCTGGACTGCAGAATTAAAAAGGGTGACCGCTCAAGCAAGACGGCTGATTTCATCAGCAGTCCGGTGGATATTTTCATTTTAACTTGACTCTGCATCACACTGTTTCAATGCACTGGACAGTTTTAAATCACGTCCAAGAAGTCTCATTGAGAACTTCTAATCGTAAATTCCGTTTCAGACCTTCGACAGCTCATAAATTACACTCCTGTATCAGGAGCATATGGTCGTTAAGTTTTAAATGAGTCTGTGTCTTAAATGAGCTTGCACTGGATAAAGACCTGTAATGTCATTTCGCTAGTTTGTTGGTGTTAACTCAGTTATAGTGTTTATTTATGGATCAGAGAACATGAAAAGAGCAGTAGAAATCCCTGGCTTGGTGGTATTTTTATCAAGGCTATCTTACAGCTGTGCTTTGGGCTCATTTTGGCGCACTTCTGAGATTTGCGACGGAGGACACTGATAAAAAGAGGCATATTTTTCCCTTCTCACAAATCCAATTTGGGGTGGCTTGGGTGGTTTCCGTAGTTTTGCCTTCATGGAAGGAGAAAAGAAGAGAAAATCACAGTAGCAGCTTGCCGTAAGCTGCTGGTGAACTTCTCTGCCGTTTAATTTCCAACCATCACAAATGCTTCATGCCATATGTTTTGCGTGTCAAACTGTGCACCTTTGTTTGTTTAATGAGCATTTTTTGAAACACACTGAGTAGGTGGACTCTCATCTAAATCCCTTGCACTGCTCTTTCATGCTCATTATACTTAAAGTGTGTGTGGGAGGCATATATTGTAGCTTTGCAATCACTGAGTCAAAAGAGGGTTTTTGCCCCTGTAAATTCAAATATCATCAGTATAATGTCCTGTAATATTTCCACAAAGCACATCTGCCCCGTGTTAATTGGCTCTTTGTATCTGCTGCGATCCCACATTCAATTTAATCAAATTTCATAATTAGGGGAGGTGAATAGAGGAAATCTGTGTAAAAGCTTTGAAGGGAGGGGATGTGAATGTGTGCGGGCGCTTGAGGAAGGGGCGTCATTGTAGTAATTGACAATCGTGCTGATGCAGTGTTTGTGTGTTCTCTCATCAGTGGATAGTTGTGTCTGAACAGGGGGCCTCCTCCTCATAAATCTGTTGGGGAAGTTCGCAGGCAGACTTTCTGCAAGGTACGAGCTGTGGTGCAACGGAGGGAAAATGTTGAAAACAGCTTGTGTCAGACTGCACACTGTTCCAAAATCATTTTTTTATGTAAAGAAAATAATTCATGTTTCAACACGAGTTCAGGCCATAATTCTAATTTAGAAAGGAGTGCTTTGAGGCAGTACTTGTACTTTGTACTTGTTTTGGGCTGAATGCTAACATTATCATGCCATCCAGCTCACAATGACGGTGTTTACATGCTGACGTTAAACAGGCAGTGTTTACTGTGTTCAGCATCTAAGTTTAGCATGTTACTATGGTAACGTTTACTCATTTGCAGTAAACACAAAGTGTTTAGTTTTGTGATCAAATGTCTGATCAAATGTCTTCAATTTAGCATGTGTTTGGTCTTAAACCCCCAAAATGGATTAATTAAAACTTTGGATGTTGCTACAGGAAAGGTAAGGAGGCTGATAAATTAGTGACAAATCACTGCCAAATTAAGATGCAGTCTGCCCGGTAGTTATTAAGACACTTCACTCAAAACCACAAATTTCAATCTCATTGTTGGACCAAAGGAAAAGTCCAGGGATCGCCAAAGTCAGTTGGATTCACCCAAAAGGAATGAAAATCTGAAAATTTTGTGGCAGTGTAGCAGCTGGATGTAGAGATTTTTGTCTTGATAAAGGTGAACTTTAATCTACGGATTGGGACCTAATAATTCAGAGGATTATTACATTTTTCACGAGTCATCCTCTGGGGACTATGAATGTCTGCATCTCAGCCAGTGGTAATATCGGCAAGGGTGGGCATCTTGTTCACAAAAACAAAGGTTAAGAAGAAAGTTTAGCCAGTGGAAAGAACAGCAAGAAAATTCCAGTACCCTTTATAACTTGTAATTGAGCAGGTTATCTCCAACATCACCTCCTGCAGAGTGTCTTTCAGAGCATGTAAAGCAATAAAACCGCAAGCACCATCCAACTGCTCATGAAAAATCACACATTTGAACACATAACCTGCTCTAAGGCATAAATTGCACCAAATTAGTGTTCCCAAACCTCCTTTTAACTCTTACATACTGTTTCAGGTCAAATTTGACATTTGACAGCAGTAAAAATACCCTAAACGTCATTCTTTTAGCCTCAAATTTGATGACTTGTACTAAAGTGACCCAAAGTACACAAAAATGAAAATATTTTAAAATGTTATACTTTTGTACTGGTTCTACTCATTGTTTTGCACTGAGGCTGTTTTTTGGTCATCCGTATCCATTGAGATGGATCTTAGATCAACCAATGTGGGTCAAATAAAGGAAGATGGTGGTTTTAGGGAATCTCAAAACTGTGAAACTGTACAGGCCATGTTTTATGTGTATTTTAAATTTACATTTATTAATTTGACATCGGCTAATTAGACATTCTTAAAAGATCTGTAGTTTAAAATTTGAGG